TTTCAGAGTGTAAATTTGCAGGGACAACAATAACAAAAGCTTACATTCATATACCATATACCAAAGTCACCCTCCATGCCTCATTATACCTGTAAGGGGACCTCATTATAATGCAATGTTATGTAAGTGGAACACAAGCTCTCATGGGCTCAAGTAAGATGGAAACTCAGTGTAAGGGACTAGTGACAGTCTTCAGTGGCTAAATGTGGAGAAATTCAGCCATGAAACTGGTGCGTCAGTTATGGGATTACTAGGATCCGGTGACTGATTGCATGTGATTGCATAAAAGTCAGAGGGAGGAGTCAGAAATAATCCCAAGGTTCTGGAATAGGGAGAAAAAAATGAAAGATGGGGCTAATGGCAGAAATAGTGAAGGTGAAAAAGAGCAAATTTAGGTTCTACGAAGCAGCATGAAGGTGTGAAAACCAAGCTAAGTACACAGATGCAGATTATTGTAAATCTCTCTTTCCCTTGCCCAGCCCCACAAAATGGGGCCTCCTCAAGTTCCTGGCACTGAAGACCCTTAGTATCCACAAGATAGAAGTCAATGCCAACTTGATTCATTGACAGGTCAAGATGAGACCCATATCAAAGACATGCCCCCAGAAAGAGGCTGAGCAGGTTCTACATTAGCTGGAGTCCATGAAATAGACAGACACACTGGTGAAAAATCTAGATGGCAGGGTCTAGTCTGCTCATGAAAACAAGTGGACTAGAAAGTGGAAATGCCAATAAAATATGCTGGACCTCTCTCCCCTAGTAGTGACCAGAAGAAAGTCACGTAGATTTTTTTTTTGTTAGCTTTGTTCCATTTTCTCTTTCTCTGGTTCACAACAGCAAAAAAACAGGCTTTTCTCATTCAGACCCCAAACTAGTTCTCAGGGGTCATAGATATGTAGAATTTTAGGATGTCAGAGCTAGGACTCTCAGAACTTAGAAAACTGAGTGTTGGATCTGTGAGGGAGCTTAACACATAGAATGTCAGAGATGGAAGGGACCTTAGCGATCACTTAGACCAAGGCTCTCATTTTACAAAAACACAAACTACGGATGTAGAGAAAGAAAGTACATTGCCTACGTTCACAAAAGCAAGCTGGTTAAAGAGCTGGGACTAGAACACAGGTCTTCTCACTTCTAGCCCAATGGTTTTTCTAGGATGGCATTCTGCTCTGTAAATAGGACTCACTCAGGCATGTTTCTTAGGAAGTGTGTGTGTGTGTGTGTGTGTGTGTGTGTGTGTGTGTGTGTGTGTGTACAATTACATACTGAGTCCACAGGCCCAACCAGGCTGGGAAAAACCATAGGTTCTGACTCATTTGAAAGCCTTCCCTGCCTTGTTCCCTTCTTACAAATTAAGGAAGAGAACCTCTTTGGTTCTCCATGCCACTTCTCTACCTTCCTCCCTCAGGGGAACAGTAACTGGAGATGGTGGGGGAAAGACATATCCCCAGCTTCTGCTTCCTGATTTTGCACAGGATATGGGAAAAGGCCCTAGCCTCAATCAAGTGTGGTTGGTGTTAGAAGTAGACTAGGTCACCTTTCCTCTGTTAAATAGGAAGAGGTTAAGAAAGAAATGAACAGATTGAAATTTTCTTAGAAATGTAAAAAAGCCTTGATTCTGTCCCTGTGCACTAAATATGTACCATCAACCTTTGACTTACCCTACAGGGTCAACTACAAAAGTTGGTTTGGGTGGAGAAGGTACCATGGTAGGGAATTCCTTAAGAAAAAGAATAGGACTCAGCACCAAGGTTTGGGGATATTTCCAATCAATCAATCAATCAACCAACAAACATTTATTAATTGATTGTCATGTGCTGTGCTTAGAACTGCAAAAAACAACCACTTCCCTCAAAGAGCTTACAATCTAATGGGGACACAACATACTATATAAGATACATATGAGCCTAGGAGGGAATTGTGGGAAGATAGTTGAATAAGGCAGGAAACTACCTGGCTCTCCCAAATTCCCCCCACAAATAACTTAAAATAATATCTCAAATTTTAGAGCGGCAGAAACAATTAAAAGTCAGGGTAAAGCAGTCCTCCAACTTAAGACAACTTGGGAGGATGTTAGGAAAGATCTGATCTCCCTGGGTGGTGGTCCGGCCTGATTGAAGTGTAGATACCTGGGGGCAGATACATCTGAGTCAACAAACAGCAAGCCCTGGGGGCAGCTGTGTCAGCTCGGGGAACTTAAAAGTGGTCCTCCTGGACCACGGAGGGGTTGGACTGCTGATCAGGGGAAGATTGCAGAGTCCTCTGTTGGCTCTGGATACAAGACCCAGGTGTGCTGACCAGACATGGTCCCAAGCTGTGACTGCAGGTGAGGAGGAGTGAGCAGACTGGTAAGTATGGTGGCAGATGGAATACTACTGTGCTATAAGAAATGATGAGCAGGTTGATTTTAGGCTAATATGGGAAGACTTGCATGAAATAATGAAGAGTAAAATGAGCAGAATGTTGTATACAGTAATAGCAATATTGTGCGAAGAGTAAATGTGAATGACTAAGCTATTCTGAGTTATATGAATATTTAAATCGACTGCAAAGGACCTATGAAGGAAGATGCTATTTACCTCCACAGAAAAAACTGATATATAGAACTATGTATCTACTTTCACATATAAATCTGTGTCAAATGTTGGCCTCCTCTAGTGCAGGGTTGGGAGGGAGGGAGGGAAACAGCTTGGAAGTCAATGTAACAAAAAAAATTTGGAAAAAAGTAAAGAAAATGAAAATTGTATTACCACAGTTCAAATACAATATGATAAACATATGCATATATATATATAAACAGAGGAATTATGATTGATTATATCTTTATATATGGCAACACTGGTATTAATTAAAACAGTTGAGGACATTAATCCATATTGTGCTTAGTACCCCTCCTCCACTAGTCTCCATGCTCTGCCAGGAAACACAAACCAACCCATTGGTTTGTGCTTTGAAATCTATTCAGGTTATTTTCCTGATGCTGCAGAAACTACTGGCACTTTCTCCCCAGAGTCTCATTGCAACAAGTGGTGAACCTCAACTCTACATAGCCACATGAGGAAGTGGGGAAGGCATGGGGGGATGGGGCAAAGAATCACTCTTTCCTTTTCATGTGGCAGCCCCTATGTTTGGGAACCTCTGGCCAGAAAGGGATCTGCCAATAACACCTACCCTACATTTCTCTACTCCTGCAAAAAGCATCAGATGTCAATTCAGCCCAGTCAGAGAACTAAAGACTAGAGAGAATTAGGGCAGGGGACCTACAAGTGTAGTTGTACCTACTTGAAGGAAAAGAGATTGGAATCCAGATGAAGCCAGTCCTGTTCTCTCCCAGAAGCTGCGTAAGTCAGGGACCTAGGCCAGTGAAAAGTAAATTCTCCAATATGAAAGGAGTCTGACATAGATTTGTGGCTCAGCCCTGGGGCGGTAAATTGGCCATCAAATGAGGAAAAGTCATACAAATGTGTAAAGGGGCAAAAGGCTAAAAGATTTGAAGAGGAAGAAAATTTAGTTAAAAACCTAGGGCACAAGCAGATAAATCAACCCAGAAGATGCTAAAATTAAGAGGGAAGAGGTGTACCAAGACATCCAAGAGATTACAAACCTCTCCAAATAAATATTGCAAGACAAAGGAAACTGAACCAATACCTAATGAAAAACAGGACCTTCTGGATTCCCAGGAGAGCATGAAATCACAACAGGACGTTTCAGAATGGTCCAAGAGAGAAATCAGAATCTTGAGAGATTAGAAGGGAACAAATGGAAAAATTCATGGCTGGTGTGTTAGAAATAATTAGCAGAATAGGAACACTTGAATTCATGGTACAGAGTCTTCAAAGAAGTAAAAGAGAGAGCAACAGAACGGGAGAACAAATGTATTAAAGTGAAGGTCCATCTAGAAGAGAAGTAAAACACAAGGACAGTAAAAGAAAATTTGATCTCTATACAAGCAAAAGCCATTGATCTTGGAGATAGGAGTAGGAGAGACAATTTAAAGATCATAGATCTCCTAGAAGAAGATGACAAATGAAAGAAATTGAATGCCACAATGCAATGTATATATGTGTGTGTGTGTGTTTATGTGTGTGCATATATATATGTATACATGTGAGTGTGTGCTCATGTGTATATATGTATATATGTGTGTATAAATACATATACACATACATATATATATATACACTTCTCAGAACTTCTGAATATAGAAAACAAGGTGCTTATCAAAAGAATCCAAAGGTCACCTAGAAAAAATGCCTAAATGCCTCTATTACTGGAGATGTCCAAATAGAGGCTGTATGTCCACTTGCTGTATGTCATGGAGTCTGGAGAGGAAGAAGCTCTGGCATTGGATGGAAGGCTGTGCTAAATGCCCTATGAGAACCCTCCCAACTCTGAGATTCTATGTCCAAAAGTCCCTCCAGTTTGAACATTCTAAACTCCTACATTCCGTGTCCTAAGTGTGAAGGTCCCTTTTCTCTCTGACAAGCTGTATAATTCTTCTGTATGGTTAACACCAAGCAGTCTGTATTAAAAGACCATTCAAGTGGCATTGACAAATTTAGAGACTGAGAGTGGAAAGGGATTTTAGGGAGCATCTCGTCTAACATCCTTGTTTTACGGGTGAACCAATTGATGCCCGGAGAAGTGATTTGCCCAAGATTATTCAGATATTAAGTAGCAGGAGTGGTATTCAAGCACATGTCCTCTGACTCCAAATCTAGAGCCCAGAAAAATCAGTGAGGGTCTAAGTAATCAAGAAGGCTTATTGGAAGGAGGGGGACTTTAAATGACAAGGATGATTTGAAGGTGGAAAGAAAGGAAGCAGGTGCCCAAGGGCTTGGGATTAAGAGAACTGGGGGATTGGGACTGAAGAAAGTTTTTGGCTTGATTTTTTCTGAAAACAACTTTCTCATATGTCCCCTGGGGTTGTTAATCATTAATATTGGTAAGCAAACCTGCTAACTCCAAATGCTTTTTTTGGTTGCTTAGTGGAGGGAACAAGGGCTTCCAGTGACCGTGGCCTCTGGTTTGGTTCTCTGAGAAACTCTACTCTTGGCTCTGCTCTCCACTCTCCAAGCAGCCAGGGAGCCAAGGAGACGGAGAAGGGTCTCCGTAGTTGGCCAGCTGCCCTCTGTGCTGGGCCGCTGGCTCAGGAGGAACCATGAAATGCTGGATTTGGATACTAGGCCTTTTGCTGCTTCTGACCCAGAGTGGGGCCCAGCCTGAGGCTAGCAGGGTGAGTCTTCCTGAAAGACACTGCTCTGATGGGAGGGCATAGGTCCCCCAGGGGGTTGGCAGAAGTTCTTGACCCTAAAAAATTGAACCAATCTAGCAGAAACAATTAAAGTCTTTTGTCTTATTTGCTTTGTGACCTTGGGGAAAATCACTTGGGAAGGAAATATGCTAAGAGTGTAGACTACTTCTTTACAATGTTGGGACAATGGCTGAAAAGTGATGCGATATAAAGACTCTCTAATCATATAATTTTGAGTTAGAAGAGGCCCTAGAGAATGCTTACTCTCTTTATTTAGAGATGGGGAGACCAAGTCCCAGCAACGTTAAGGGACTTGTCTAAGGTCACACAGGTAGTGAGTAGCTGAGTGAGAATCTGAACCTAGGTCATCTGATGATAAAATCCAATGTTCTTTCTTCTTTGCCATGTGGCCTCCCATACTTTTTATACTTTAGGGCAGTGGTATCAAAGTCAACTAAAAGCAGAGACCACTAATCATTCATAAGAGTCCTTGAGAGTCACATATTGGCTTAGTATTAAAATATAATGTTACCTATGTATTATTATATTTTTATTTATTTTGTTGGATGGTTCCCAATTACATTTTAATTGGGTTTGGGCAGCGCTTGAGAGGATGGTGGGCAGTAGGCAGTGTGTTTGACACCTCTGCTTTAGGGCCTCAAGAATCTTTGCCTTCTTCAACATGGATCCTGTCTCTACCTACGCATGATCCTAACTGCTCTATGCATTAGTAAATGGTTTCATAAGCTCCTGTGGCAAATATGTGTCTGTCCATATGGATGTATCTGTAGGTGCCTGTGTCTGTCTGTGAAGACACGCATCCCCTGATGGCCACCTTTCTGGTGCTGAGCCTCTCTGTGCTTAGACTTGGCTAGGTTGGTCCTCAGACAGGGGCATAACCTTTGATAACCCAAATCGTGCCCATGCCAGGATGCTGGAGATATCATGAAACAGTGGAAAGAAAACTGGCTTTGAAGTCAATGGGACCTGGTTCAAATCCTGATTTTTCTCTTTCCTGTACTTGTGATCTTGAACAACCCACCTCAGAGGACCTAAGCTGCCTCTTCTATGAAATGATGGGGCTGAGCTACTTCATTTCCAGGCTCTAAATATTCCAGCTCTAAATCTATGAAGCATCAATTGAATACCTGAATGGGGACCACACGTCTATGGCATATTCAAAAGAAACTTTACAAGGTTCTTTCCTACTCCTTAACTCCCTGACTTCTGGCTAGCTTTTTTGCTCATACACACACACACACACACACACACACACACACACACACACACATTTCCAGTGCTTAGCACAGTGTCTGGGACATAGTAAGTGTTTAACCTTCCATCTATCTATCTATCTATCTATCTATCTATCTATCTATCTATCTATCTATCTATCTATCTATCTATCTGTCTCTATCAATCTGTCTACCTACCTGTCTATCTAATCTGTCTGCATCTATTTATCATCTGTTTGTGTCTATCTCTATCAATCAGTCTATCTATCTATTTGTCTAATCTATCTGCATCTGTCATCCATCTACCAATTTATCTACCTACCTATCTATATCTAATCTATCTATCTACCTGTCCATCTATCTGTCTATCCATCTATCATCTATCTAACCTATCTGTCTGTTTGTTTATCTGTCTAGTCATCTATCTGTCTATCCATTCATCCATCCATCATCTATCAGAGTTCAGTAGGGGAGATTGGGCAGGGATTATTATCCTCACTTGACAAATGGAGAGACCAAGTCTTCCATGAGGTAAGTGGCTTTGATTCAAACAACAGTTACTAACAATAACAAAAGTTCCTGTTTCTATAGAGTTTTACTATTTACAGAGCATCACACACCCACACACGCACACACACACACGCACACGCGCACCAGTCTTGTGAGCTAGAGGATGTAATTATTATTGAATCAGTTTCATGGAGGAGAAACTGAGCCCTGGAGCAGCCACCTAAGGTCACAGAACTAGAAAGTGTCAGAGCAGAAATTTGTGAAGAGCCCCATGGTAATCAGTTTGTGCTGTGCCAATCTACTTGACCAAAGTCACGTCACAAGTTTGAGGTTGAGCCCCATCTGACTGCCCAGTTCAAGGTTCTTTCCCTCATACTAGGCTGCCTTTCTTTAGCACACATGGGCAATGTCCCAGCACAAACCAGAAACACTGAGTGAGGCTTTGATTCTTTCCTGCTCAGACAGTGGTGTGTGGTCTGGGAGCACGAAAGAGCAGAACTCAGTCCTCACTGTTCCCCAGCCTCCTTCCCCTTCTTCCCTTCCTCTGTCCCCCCACCCCTGTATTCCCACAGAAAGGATGGGTTGGTAGCAGAGTTTCATTAGGGACTTATGCCCCTGCCCCAGACTAGAACCAAAGACCCTTCCTCCATTTTGTTGGGGCTTAAGGAGGCATATAAGAAATGTCTTTTTCTCTGAATTAAACTTTTGAAGCTCCTTTTGATCTATAATATATGTGAGTGCATGCTTAGAGAAGCTAATAAGAAAAGAAGAGAAAAAAACCCCAGAGGTCTCTGTTAGGGGGGGAAATGCCAGGAACCAAAGGGAGCTAATTACTTTCTTCATCTAGAATTGGACTAGGATTTCTAGGGTCCTTAGACATTAGGTCTGTCACCACCCCCTAACCTATAAACTCCAGGCTCCCTATTACCTCCAAGACCAAAGATAAAATCCTCTATTTGGCTCTTAAAGCCCTTCACTACCTGGTCCCTTCCTACCTTACCAGTCTCCTTACACCTTACTTCCCCTGATATTCTCTGATCCAGTGACACCAATCTCCTTTGCTGTTCCTTGAGGCAATTGAAGTTAAGTGACTTGCCCAAGGTCACACAGATAGTACACATCTGAGGCTACATTTGAACTCAGGTTCTCCTGACTCTAGGGCCAGTTGCTCTATCCACCATGCCATATAGCTGCCCCTTCTGCTGTTCCTTGAACAATACACTCCATTTCTCTACTCCTTGCATTTTCATTGATTGTCTTCCATATTTAGAATTCTCTCCCTCTCCCTGGCTTCTATTAACTTGCAGCTAAAATACCACTGTCTGTGAGAATCCTTTCCCTGTCCCAGTTAACACTAGAACTTTCCTTCTGAGATGATCTCCAATTTATTTTTCATATATCCTGCTTGTACCTAGTTGTTTGCATGTTTCCTTTCATTAGACAGTGATCTCCTTGAGGAGGGTAATTATTTTTTGTCAGTAATTATTCTTTGCACTAACCCCAGTGCTTGGCATAGTATATAGTAGGTGCTTAATAAATGTGTGTTGACTTGATTTGACTTTCAAATCAAGGGGATTCTCTATTCTATAGTCTAAGGTCTCAGCTCTGACACTTTTGTGCAGTTTTGAGTATTTTTAAAGGGGGAGGTGGCAGGTTGGGGAGAAAAAAATGCATTGTGAGTCTCAGGTATAATAAGAGGTATGAGGGGTATGGGGGTAGGGACAGATAGATGGAAGGAACTCTTGTACCTGGTCAGATGAGGCCCTTCCTTGCTCTGATTCTAGATACTCACAAAGTATTTTTATGATCTGTATTCTTTTCTGGGATCAGACCTAGAAATCTAGAGGATTTCAACTTTGACATCTCCCTTAACCAGCAATCAATCAATAAGCACCTATTATGTGCCATACACTGTTCTAGGCACTGAGAATTCAAAGACAAATGTTAAAAAAAACCCATCCTCAAGGAGCTCAAGGAATACGAATATAAGTATATACATCAATATTTTGTACAATAGCACAAAATGAGTACAAAATTGTCTTGGGAAGGAGAACGTAACAGCTGAGGACAGGGAAAGGCTTCAGGCGATGCTGGCCTCATTATACTTGAACTCTGGTTGAGTGATCAGGAAGTTGATGGCCTGCACATAGAATAAGGCTTATTATCATTAGCTTCTTTATCACTCTTCTTGATACTTTGCAAATAATCTTGCAATAGCCAGGAGAGCCCCTTCCTTCTGTGTCCTCCATCATCATCTAGCTCAGAGCTCTGTCCCTGAAGACAAGGCGAAGGTCCACACGGGCCTGCTCTAAGACAGTAATAACTCGATGCATTTGCCCTTGGCATTGTGGAGGAATTCCTCTACCTTTCCCCCTTTAATTTCTGCCAAATATGGGGGCTCCCAGCATTTACGGCACTATCTTCCCTTAGGTAACACAGGAATATTGGTACTTCCTCACGTATGCTGTCACTCACCTCCCAGATAAACAGTGACCTTTCATCTGTCACTATTTATCTATCTGTTTTCGTAAGACTGCCCCTTCCTTTGCGATAGGGCCACTGAGAGGGAATTTTCACTGAGAATTCACAAGAAGGGGAATTATTAGAGACCCCCTTAAGGGTAGATTTCCCATTGGTTGGAGTTCTGTGGGTGCTAAAGATCCCCCAAAGGAACTTTGTAACCCCATGCTCCACGGTGGCAGCATTGGGGAGCCTGGGGTAGACGCGGAGTCAGCAATACCTGGGTTTAAATCCTGCTTCTGACGCTTAAAAGCTGTGTAATTCTGGGCAGAGTAGTTAACCTCTGTGTGCCTCACTTTCCTCATCTAAAAAACGAAAGGGTCGGAGTAAGTGGCCTCTAGGAAATCTCTGGCCCCAAGAACGAAGCGGGGGATGGGAAGAAGAAGTCCCACTGGGTAGGAATTTTCTGAGTCTCCCTTGTCGTTATTCAGTCCTTTTCAGTCGTGTCCGACTCTCTGTGACCCAGTTTGGGGTTTTCTTGGCAAAGATATTGGATTGGTTTGCTCTTTCCTTCTTCAGCTCATTTTACAGATGAGGAAACTGAGGCAAACAGGGTGAACTGACTTCCCCAGGGTCACACAGCTAGGAAGTATCTGAGGTCAAACTTGAGCCCCTCTATCCCACACCACCCAGCTCCCTTAGTCCTTCTTTGTTGGCTCTGCCTCATGTTCCACGATCCTGGGTAGATTAGTGTAGGAGTAGAGAGGGGAAAGGGGAGAAGGACCCAGAGAAGAGGAATTTCAGGTATTCACCCCCATTTGTTTTGCCCAGTGTTCCACGTTCCTAGAACATGTTTGTGTGGGAAGAGGCATGACGGAAGAAGAATTTCATGATTCCCTCGAAATTTTCCCTCATTGGCTATGCCAGGTTTTCTCTATTCCTGGGATTGGGATAGAATGGGGGAGAGGACCCAGAGAAGGGGGATTTCCTAAGTTAATTTGTACCTTTCATTATTTTTTTTTTTGTAGAGCAGGACGGAGTCCCCAGCCTTCAATGTGACTGGAGAAAGACGTGTAGAACAAGAGACTCTAGAACCCCGAGGTATGGGCTCCCAGAACCCCTTCTCTAGAGATCATATTTTGTGCCCTCAAGAGGAAGTGTGACACAGAGCAAAGTTTACTGGATTTGGAGTCAGAGGAATTGGTTTTGAATCCTGTGTAGCCTTGAGCAATCCATCTCACATCTGTGGTCTTCCCCTTCCTCAAATATAAAAATGAGGTGGTCAGACTAAATGACCTCAGAGATTCCTTCTATTCCTAAATCTATGAGGCTTTGACTTATCTAGGCCATGCTCAATTCAGCCTAGACTAAGGGGTTCTTGGTCTGCTGCTTCAAGGGACCCTCCTAACTCTACCTTAGGAATCAAGATAGCACAGTGAATAAATAGAGGTTGGGTTTTGGAGTCAGAAAGAACTCAGGTTCAAATCCTGCCTCAGACCCCTACTAGATGTGTGTCCCAGAGCAAGTCCCTGAACCTTCCCAAGGGTCAATCACCTCATCTATAAGATGGGGATGCTAAAAGAAGACCTAATTTACAGGATTGTGAGGATCAAATGAAATAACACATTTCAGGTGTCTTAAACCTTAATACGCATGCTAGCTATTATTATTATCATCTGTTGCATAGCAGGCTCACCCCTCTTTAGGAAACCACCTCTTCTTTCTGTGATTCTCTCTTCCCCTCTCTCTGTAGGTGATTTAACCTAATGGTCAAAGGACCCAAAGGTCAAAGCCTCACCCGAGGTTTGAGGCACTGAAGAGCCTGGCATTGTAAATGACAGTAATCACTTCTGATTCTCTGTATCCCGAGTGGTTAGGGAGGGAGCGCTCAAATGCTTGCTGATTAATTCTACTTTCAGGTTTACAAAGTGCTTTTTTCACAATAACACTGTGAGATGGCCAGTACAAGGAGCATCATCTACTGTTTACGGATGAGGAAACAGGCAGAAACAGAAAGAGACGACCCTTGACTTGCCCAAGATCACACAGCTGCTGAGTGGGAGACCCAAGAATCAAACCCAAATCTTTGGATTGCCAGAGTAGGGTGTTTCCACAACTCATAGCTGTACGTGATAATGGCCATGTGGAGATACAAGTGGTTAGAAGGCCAGAGGAGAGGTCACTGTGAACAGGAGAACTCAAGAAAGACTTCATGAAGGAGATGGAGCTTGAATTGGGATTTGAAGTATGGGAAAGATTTGAAAGCTAGCTAGCTAGATGTATATAGCTAGATATAGATACACACACATACATATATGTATATGTATATATGGGTGTATATAACACACACATATATACGTATATGGAGAAAGAGAGAGGTGGGTACATACATATATGCAGAAAGGGAAAGAGTGAGACAAGCAGAGAGATTAAATACTTACTATGTGCTTACCAAGTCCTTATTAACCACTTAGTATGTGTAATGTATTGTGCTAAGCAATTTCACATTTTGAAGAATGCGTGTTTTTAAAAATACTACTTAAGTTAATGCAACAAACTATGATCCTACATAAGGAATCATTTTAAGCAATAAATTAAATCAATATTGACTACTACTTTCAAATACAATCATCTAAATCAGGTGTCAGGACAGGAAGAGATCTCATGATCAGTGTCCTGAAGTCTATTGAAAGAGTTTCTCCAACAACACAATTTATTGAAAAAGGAATGATGAGAATACAAGCATGCAAGATTGGGCCTGCCCTCAAGGAGCTGATATTCTAATAGGGGAAGATAATACTGGATGGGAGGAGGGAAACCAAGACGGGATGAGGAAAATACTCTAAATAAGGAGAAACTTTGTGAGCAAAGGCAGAAAGGCAGAAGTAAGCATGGCCCTTTTGGGGGACAGAAAGAGGTTCAGTTGGGAGCAGAGCTTGAGCTAAGTTTGAGCCTAGGGGTTCCAAGAGTTGAGGGTGAGAAGGGAGTGTAGAGTGCATTCCAGGCCCAAATGAAGCCACAGAGATGGGACTTGGAAGTCTATGAGTAAAATTCTATGATTTTGTGAGTGAGGAATGCTGGGAAATACAGATAATGTAGACCAGGACTGACACATAGCAAGCATTCTCTTTCTGCTCTCTGATTAGCTGTAAGGCTAATTTCAGGAGGGGTACCTAACCCTTGTTGGAATTTTCCATTGTGTCTTGCAGTGTTCACCGAGGATGGCCAGCTATGCAGCTTTCCTTTCCGCTATGGTGGGCGGATGCACCATTCTTGCACCTCTAATGCTGGGTCCTTGAAGAAATGGTAGGTCAGTCTTGCCTTCATTACTTTATTACTTTTCCCTTTTATGATCAATCCTTCAAGTCTTTCCTAAGACGGCCCACCCCTTCCTATTTTAAGCAAGGTTATGGGAGAGACAGGATACAACATGCTACCACAAACTTTTATTAATCTCCTGCTCTGTTCAAGGCACCTGGAACACACATATGCACAGTGACATAATTCCTGCCCTCAAGAAGCTTACATTCTAATGAGGGAAGGGGAACATGGAATATAGACAGTTAATTTTGATACAAGGGAAAGTTAGATATGTAGAGGAGAGGTCCAGGCAAGGTGTTAACAGGAAGTTAGGAGAAATTTCACTTGTTGGGGGTTGGAAGGTGGCACCTGAATTGTTCTTGAAGAAAGGGAGAAATTTCAATAGACTGGAATGGAGGTGTTATTGTTGTGGTTGAGTCATTTTAGTCATGGCCAACTCTTTGTGATCCCATTTGGGATTTTCTTGGCTAAGATACTGGAGTGGTTTGCCATTTCCTTCTCCACTTATTTTACAGATGAAGAACTGAGGCAAAGAGGGTTAAGTGACTTGCCTAAGGTCACACAACTAGTAAGTGCCTGAGGCCAGATTGGAACTCATAAAGATGAGTTTTCCTGACTCCAGGCCCAATACTCTATCCACCTAGCTGCGCCATCAGGATAGAGGTAGGGGTATCTACTCTAAGCATGAAGAACAGTATAAATGAGACAAATGACAGAATTATTTTTTTGAGGGATAAGGCCCCTCATACTACCCTGAGAAGGTAGTTGACTAATGTATCATTGGGTTGGTAATGCTGGGTTGGTAAATCTGGAAAACACCCTTTACTTGGAGTTTCCACATTTATACAGACTTTCTGTGAGACAGGGAAGTCACAGGAAGACTTTAGAGAACTGAAAATTAAAACCATCTTGGGCAAGAGCCAGCATGAATGAGGCTTCTCTCTTCCCCACCTTCTCCCAGTGCCCCCATCCCCATATAATTTATTCATAATATGAGATGTGGCCCCAAACCTTGGACATTTGGCCCCTTCTTTGTCCTCTTTGGACCAAGCCAAGGGAGTAGAAGTGGCCAAGAAAGCCAGAAGCCCACCTATTGGGCAACAGCTCATGAATCCTGGGACCTGACATTCCCAGATAAGGCAAAAAACACAGCTCAGGGAACCCCCAGGCATAGAAAGCTCAGATAATAAGATTAGGAATAGAAGGAGGGGACTACCTGGAAAACAACTGGAGATTTAACAAATGGAAGAGAGGGAAGGAGGAAGGAGAAATGGAGGGAGAGAGAGACTGAGACTCTTCATGGTTCATAGACTCACAGATTCACACAACTTCAGTGTTGGAAGGGACATCAGAGGGCATCTAGCCCAACCTGTATGTGATTGTGAGTCTCCTATATGATATCCTTCATTCCCATGGCTCATAGACTATCACAACTGAAAGGAACTTTAGTGACCATCCAGTCCCACCCTCTCATTTGAAAGAGGGAGAAACTGAGGCCCAGAGAAGCCATAACTTGACCAAGATCACATGGGGCCAGGACTAGAACCCAGGTTATCTGATTCCCAGTGGAGGGCTTTTTCAACTGCAAAATTCACTTTGATTTAATTAAACAAGTATTAATTAAGCACCTACTATGTGTTAGGCATTGTGCTAGCCCCTAGGAATACAAAGACAAAAATTATATAGTTCCTACCTTTGGAGTTTACATTCTAAGTTAGTTGTGGAGAGGGCAGAGAACAACATAGATAGATAATCTATAGATGGCTCTATCTATATGCTGTTCCCCCTTAGAATGTAAGCTCCTTGAAGGCAGGAATTATTTCATTTTTGTCTATCTAGATCTATCTCTTTATCCATAGGAGATAGATAGATACAGATAAGTAAATGCAAAACATAAACAAAGGAAATTCAAAGTACACATTCAGGAGAGATTCAGTTAGATAGAGGGTATATCTGGTGGGAGATGGAACATAAGAGGGTATAGACATGATGAAAAGGAAGATGATATCTTGTCTGGAGAAGATTTATGTGCTATGAGAGGAAAGACTAGAAAAGTAGTTTGGGGCCAGTTTGTGATGCACCAGACTTTTAAGGAAAATTGATTATAGCTAGGTGAAATAGACTAAAAATTAGAACACAGAAAAATCAGATACCAAGTGTCCCAATGGACCCAGATTGCCTGCCTTTCCTCGGATCACAATGTGTGTTCTCTCACTTGCAGGTGTGCAACCACACACAATTATGATCGGGACCGGAGGTGGGGATATTGCATCATGACGCCCAAAGAGAACACAAGTAAATAAGGTTCCCTCTCATTGGTGTAAGGTGTGAGTAGACAGGCATTGCTAAGCCCCAGGATAAGAGGCTGGGGGTGGTTATTTCTGAACAGGTGGTGAGGCGGGTGGTATGGGTCCCTAAGGGAAACTTTAGCAAATACTTACTAACCACCTACATTAGACTGGAAATTCCTTGAAGGCAGGAGCTGTCTTTTGCCTTTCTATGTGGTCCCTTAGCATTTAGTGCGGGGCTCTGCACATAGTTGGTCTTTAATAAATTCTTACTGGCCTACTATGTGCAAAGTCCTATGCTAGGGCTAAGGGAACAACAGAGCTTAGATAAAAAGAAGTATGCCCTTGTGGAGTTCACTAGCAATAATAATAGCTCATATTTATGTAGGACTTCAAGGTTTGCAGAGTGTTTTACAGCTCTCCCTCACAACATCCTTGTGGAAGAGGTGGTATTTTCCTCATTTTACAAATGAGGAAACAGAAGCTCAGAAAGGCTGAGTGACTCACCTGGGGTCTCACTGCTTCGAGGTGTCAGAGGCAGGATTTGAAACTCGGGTCCTCTTGACTCAATTGCAATATATTTGTCCATAACTATGACATACATCCACATGAAAATGATCACTCCTTTAGATTTCTTATAGCGCTTGAGTTGGTGTTCTCCTTTGCTGTGATCACACTCTTTTTTGTAACATACTTTTTTGAGTATGTGTGTACACATATCCCTCCCAGTTGATTTCACAATCCTCAAGGGCAGGGGCCATGTTGTCTTTCCATTTTTGGTTTCTCTGTGTCAAATGCATAGCCATATAGACATCCTTGCTATAACTGAAACCAAGAGATCTCAATGGATTAACAACTCACAGGTGGATGAGAGGTTGGAGGGGCTGGCTTCATTGTACACGCAGAGGCAGCAAGAAGAGGAATTTCATGGGACACTCATCCATCTTGACATGCACTGCTCACTATGTACATAAGCAAACAGACCACCATGAAGATAATGGCACCTTCAATGAGCCCAAGCTTCTCCCTGACACACTCACACAAAAAGGAAAAAAAAACAAAACTCCACCATCTTCTAACACCAATAACTCCTCCATGATGTGATATGACTGTGAATCATTGAATTCTACAACTTCTGAAGCATCATAACTTCACAACTGCAGGTGACCCACAGATATGTGGTATTTTTAAGTCAGCTTTAACGTGTGATTAGCGGTGACCCGTATATAAAAATACGAAAGACATCATCGAGGATATGTATAATTGGAGAATGATGTGGGCTGGTTATGTAGTGGGAGTGAAAAATAACAGATGGACAGCCCAAGAGTGATGCTGGTACAAAATATTAAAAGAACTAGAGAAAGACCTAGATCCTTTATGGAGCATTTCTAGAAAGACGTGGACAAGAATTGCCCAGGGTCAGAAGGCCTAGTGGGACTTGATTTGCACAAAGAACATCCATACAGATGAACTCATAGACCCACCCATTCCAAATGTCAGAGTCAAAAAATTCTGGAATCACAATGTGGGGCTAGAAGAAACCACAGAGGTCCTCTAGCCTAACTTGTATCTGAATGGAAATCCTCTTTGCCACCTCCCCCCATTCCAGTGATTACCCATCTTTTCTATATAAGATCCCCAGTGATGGAGGAATCTGCTTTCAGAAGCATCTTCTTTCATGATCGGATAGTTCAAATTGTTAGCAAGTTTTTCCTTTTATCTAGTTGAAATCATCTTTCCTATAACTTCTCCTTATTGCTCCTTTTTTCTCCTCTTTGGGACCCAGAAGAACAAATCTAATCCCTCTTCTAAGGCACCATTGTTTAAATACCCAAAGACATTTATTATGTTTCTCTTAAGTCTTTCCTTCTCCAGCCTAGATTGTACTTACTGAGCCCCTCAACCAATCCTGGTCTGGGCTGGTTTCCTATTCCTCTCCATTATAGGTGCCCTCCTTTGGACACACTCTAGTTTGTTAACGTGTTTCATAAAAATTTGATACCCAGAGCTGGGTACAATATGCCAATGTGGTCTGACCAGGACAGGGGATGAGAGGACTGTCACTTGCCTTGATCTGAGTCTTCCTCTTTTAATACCTTAGATTTTTGTTTCCTGTGTCACCCTGTAGAATCATGTTAAACTTGGAGGCTGCCAAAATGCTGGCACAGTGTGCCCAAATTGCCAGGTGTCAAACATCTGCTCAAAGGGCAGTCAGTTATTTCAAAGTGGGCCCTGGAGTCAGTTGGCTGTGTTTCCCTGTGGCTTTCTCACACACGAATTAGTCTTCTTTCTGCTAAGCTGGTGGCCAAGGGAAATCTTGTTACTTCTTGGGCCTCGGCAAAATCTCTGCCAATTCCTGTTAATGATTTACCTTGAAGAGTCAGTTAATGTTTTTTTTAAGATTCTTCCTGGACCAAACCACCTTTCCTTGTACCACTCCTGCCTAGGGGGAGAAGGAGGAGGAGGAGGAAGAGTTGGTTTAAAGAAAGACTGAAAACAATGTCAGCATTTATTTTTTTTTTAAGTTTGAGGGAAACAGACTCCCTGGTCTTCTGGCCTGGGCCTGCTGGTTTGCAGTAGTGGTGGGAAAAGAGGTGGGGAGAGGGTCCTGCCTGCCAAAACAGGGCCAGATCAGTTTAGAGCTAGTCAAGGATACTAAGGGACCTTCAGTTACTGAACAGAGGCCTCTCTGCACAGGGGAGATACAAAGACGCTCCACAGAGATTTGGAAGCAAGAATTCAGGGCCAGCCAATAGTAGCATTGTGAGGGTAGTGGGGGAAGGGAATCACAGAATCCTCCTCCCTCCGCTGCCTATGACTTCTCAGATGGGTCAGTATCTCCCTCAGCGAGATCCCTTGTGCCTTCAGCCACTGTAGAAAAAAAATGGGGCAACCAAGTGCAATGGGAAGGGACACCGTACTGGGAGCTGGGAGGGTCTAGTGCTGACCACAGGCTCTGCCCCTAGAGCTCTCATCATGGGTGCTTAGGGTAGACATTTCACAGTGTAACTCAAATATCAGCAGCTATCTCATCACTCTAAGGGCTCATGGACACTTGGGAGTATTTCTCATAGCCCTCACCTACTGTTCCCACCCAGAGAATCTGGGAACTTCACTATATGATTCCTTCAAGCACCTCCCTTGCAAGCATATGGTTCACAAAGAATGAAGTAAGGAAAGGTTGTTTGGTTTTTTTTTTCTTCCAATGCGTCGAAGAAACGAGTTGAGCTCAAAGACATTGTCAGCACTTGCCAGAGCCCTGTAGAAGGTCTGTCCCTCATAATCATGGATTTCCAGGAGGTATGACTATCCACTCTACAGGTGGTGGCCATTCATGGCTCTTCACCCCATTCATTCTCCTAGGCCAGTCTATGCAGTTCGCATCAGATAGTTCCAGCCATCTCTCTTCCTGCAGCACTGTGTAACTGCCAGCAGGGAGAGATAAGCTCCCATCATTGCCGGGTGTTCTCTGTAGCTGCCAGTCATTGGTATTAATAGCCCTCTTTTCCAGAGAAAGTGATTTCTGGCATGGGCCCCCATCTCAATTTGTCAGTGGTAGAGTATTTCAATCATGGCAGGAGATGCATTAGATTGTAAGCTTCTTGAAGGCAGAGACTGCCTTTTGCCTGTACTGCAGGCACTCAATAAATGTTTATTGATTGATTGATTGATCGGATTATAGTTCTAGACCACAGTGCCTCTACTTTGAACCCTTTCCTTTACATTATAGTTATTAAAGACTTCTAGTCTCTCACAAAAGTTTGCCTTAGAATCAGGAGCAAGCACCCCTCACTCTTTCAATCTTCAAACTGATTTCCTTTATTAGCATCATGTCAGGGACTGGGTAACTTCACGGTCTGATGTGATGTGTTTTTCACCCATGTCACTTCTCACTAGCTTAAAAAACTTGACCCAATTTCTCTCCAATTGTCTCTGAGGACAATTGTGGGAATGTGGGTTTTTCTGGGCACAATTAGGCAAGGTCTATTCCAATTACCCAGGGTTACTTCCCTTCCATATTTCTGGTTGGGTAAGAGGAGCTGAATACACCCTAGAATTACCACATGCCAGAAGAATGGAGGGAAGAGAAAAGAAAAAATGATCATCATATTTGTTCTAGGATCAATCCAGCTCAGACAGCCTGTATTCTAAGACGTTCCGACTCTCACATTTTTAGAGCTTAGATCTTAGTGCAAATGAGTTTGACATATTACTACCATCCAGAATCTTTGGAATTGATCGTGTGGCATGGGAGACACTGGCACAGGACTGCTCAGGATGGCATGCCCTCATCAGAGAAGGTGCTATGCTCTATGAGCAAAGCAGAATTGAAATGGCTCAAGAGAAATGCAAGATACACAAACTTAGAGAATCTACCCCAAAAGTTCACACGGATTATTTGTGCCTAATCTGTGGTAGAACATTCTGACCTTGTATTGGTCTGATCAGCCACAGTCGGACACCCTAAAACTTGACTCTAGCATAGTAATGTCATTTTGGTCCTTTTCACAAATGAAAGACAACAACAACAACAAACTTCCAGAAATATTTACAGGAAAAAGAAATCAAAGGAATTGAGCTGTAATGGTGGACTTTCAGGCACTTGGACAGAATAAGCAGTATATTAAAGTTATAGAATCTCAGAGTTGTTAGGAACCACAAAGATCAAATCAAACTCAGACCTGAGCAGAAATCCTGTCTACGACACCTAGAAGAATAGTCAACCAGTATCTGCATAAGTTAGGGAGAAACAAGGCAGAACTATTAAACTCTCACGTTTCTTCTGTGTTTGTTTATTTTTTCCTGCCAAGGAGAATTATTTTTGGACTGGAAGGTTAGAAAAAAATAGCTAACAGGGAGTAGATACTCTAGATAAGCAGGAAGATATCAAGAACACTGATTTCAAGTAATTAGACCCAGATGAACTACACACCAAGGTTCTAAAAGAATTGACAGATGTGATTATAGCACCTCTGTCAGTGATCTTTGAAAGTTCATGGAGAATGG